AAATAAATATTTAAAAAAAAAAAAAAGAAAGGAACAAATTGGGATGGACATGGAGTTCGCTAGGATCTTGTCTCAACCTTGTTATGTCATGATCCAATCATGTCTCATAGGAGAACTTGAATGAATGAAGGAAGGAAGGAAGGAAGAAGATAGCTCAGTGGACTCAAGTGCCTACTTAGGCAGATGCAGGGGCTGGGAGTTTGATCCCCTGGTGCGCACTGCCGGCACTGGCCCCGCCCCCAGGGTACACTGAGACATGTTTTAGACTGGGTGTGGTAGCCTGCGCCTGTAATATCAGCGCTTGGGAGGCTGAAAACAGGAGGATCACCTCGAGTCCTATCTGTGTAATGACAGCCTGTAGACCCTGTACCAAATACAAAGAAAGAAAGAAAGAAAGAAAGAAAGAAAGAAAGAAAGCAAGAAAGAAAGAAAAGAGCGAGCCAGCAAGTCAACACATGGCTGTGACTATACCACTAACTGGAACCTACTGGGTGTTTCTTCTGGCACCAAAACATTCATTTTGCAGATGGAAGAGGAAGAATGTAGCCTATGGCAACCTGGGCTCCACCCTTTCTCACCTCCTCAGATTTCATGCTGTGGCCTTAATATTGGCCAAATCTTCCTCCATAGGAAACATGAAAAAGTCAGAGAATATTAAGAGGCAAGTTATGATACCTATGTGACAGTATAGGAGCCTCCTTCATGCAAGAAAGAAATATGTAGCTGCTGTTTAAAAATGTATACATGGGGCCAGGGAGATGGCTCAGTAGAATAAAAATAAATAAATAAATAAATAAATAAAATAAAAATAAATAAATATTAAAAAATAAAAATGTATACATGGAGTAAGCCTTAACAACAGACCTACAGTAGTATTTTGTAGGCTTTATTGGGGAATTACTAAAAAACAAAAACTGGCATATGAAACAATTTTGAGAGTTATAGAAATATCTGACTAGAGTTAATTACACTTAGATACATGAAGTGATCCATGTTCTTATAATTAGGACAATCAGATAAGCTAAAAAGAAAAATCTGATCAAAAGGGCAAAAGGTTTTTAAAATGCTTGAAAATACAACCAACAGGTACATAGGCAAATATCATGCTAGTGGGGCCGGGGAGATGAATCAGTAGGATAAGTGCTTGACTGGCAAACGCAAGGATCTGAGTTCAAT